GCTGTGGGGTGGCTGAGCCCTGTCCCTGTGCCCTGTCCCTGTGCCCCACGGCTGTGGGGTGGCTGAGCCCTGTCCCTGTGTCCCTGCAGGCCCTGAAGCAGCAGCAGCAGAAGCAGCAGCAGCAGCAGCAGCAGCAGTGCCGGGCGGCCGTGGGGCCGGGCATGGGGCCGGGCATGGCGCTGCCCTCCAGCCAGCACGTCCTGCTCAAGGCCAAGGCCGTGCCCGGGCGCTCAGGTAGGGCAGAGCATGGGGAGATCAGGGCACCGGGAGATCAGGGCAAGATCAGGGCACAGGGAGATCAGGGAATGGGGAGATCAGGGCACGGGGAGATCAGGGCACGGGGAGATCAGGGAATGGGGAGATCAGGGAATGGGGAGATCAGGGCACAGGGAGATCAGGGCACAGGGAGATCAGGGCACAGGGGCTCAGGGCACGGGGGGCTCAGGGCACGGGGAGATCAGGGCATGGGGGGCTCAGGGCATGGGGGGCTCAGGGCACAGGGAGATCAGGGCATGGGAAGATCAGGGCACGGGGAGCAGGGCTGGGGGGGAGGGAACCTCTCCATTCTTCATCCTCAGCATCTGCATTGGGGCTGGGGGCTGTGAGGGACTCACCGGGAGAGGACAGACCTGGGAGAGACCTGGGAGAGACCAGGGAGAGACCTGGAGGGACCTGGGAGAGACCAGGGAGAGACCTGGAGGGACCTGGGAGAGACCAGGGAGAGACCTGGAGGGACCTGGAGGGACCTGGGAGGGACCCTGGAGAGACCTGGGAGACACCTGGAGAAGATCAGGGCAGCCTGGGAGTGACCTGGGAGGGATCTTGGAGGGACCCTGGAGAGACCTGGGAGACACCTGGAGAAGATCAGGGCAGTCTGGGAGTGACCTGGGAGGGATCTTGGACAATCTTGGGTAGCTCTGAGTGTAAGGAGAGACCTTGGAAAGACCTTGGAGAGACCTGGGATTTCTGTTGGTTATTTCTGTTCTGGTTATTTCTGTTCTGGGATTTCTCCTGCTTATTTCTATTTGAGGTTCTTCTGGTGTTTATGTTCTGGAATTTCTCCTGGTATTTCTGTTACGGGATTTCTCCTGGTGTTCATGTTCTGGGATTTCTCCTGGTTATTTGTATTTGGGGTTTTCCTGGTGTTTCTGTTTGGGGATTTCTCCCAGTGTTTATTTTTGGGGAGTTCTCCTGGTGTTTCTTTTTGGGGTTCTCCTGCTGTTTATGTTTGGGGAGTTCTCCTGGTGTTTATGTTTGGGGAGCTCTCCTGGTGTTTATGTTTGGGGAGCTCTCCTGGTGTTTATATTCTGGGATTTCTCCTGGTACTGATGCTTTCCAAGGTGGCTCCTCATCCTGCAAGGTGGGTTCCACGTCCTGTTCTCATCTGGAAGGTCCTGAGGGATTTCCAGAATTTGTGGTGTCAGTGAGCAGCGAGCTCACTGCTCTGCTCTGGCTGCTCCAGCAGGGCAGGAGCTCCCTGCCAGCACCAGATTTTCCATGGAATCCCAAATTCCTGCCTGTCCCTTCCCTGATCTCTTTGCAGAGTAACTGAGTGCCTGGGTAAGGGCCTGGTTCTGGGGCACAGAACCCCCAAATCCCAAAGAGCCCTGATGCACATCCCAAAAACTGCGTCTGCAGCCCCAAATCCCGAGCTTTCTTCAGCCACCGAGCTCTCCAGTAAAGCCTGGGCTGTGGGGGATTCATCAGTGCTAATTATTGTTAATTCATTACTGTTAATTATTGACCCAGTCCCTGAA